GCGCAGCCGCCAGAGTTCTATTGGAATGGCATCCATAGTTTGCATAAACGTTGGCGTGAAGTGATAGAGGCCAATGGTGATTACATTCATGATTGAGATGATTTTGCTTTTAAATAAACTGGGTTGTAATAATTGTTCATGAAATTCCGAGAACTTTCTTTCCAATCAGATAGTAATATACAGCACAAACTGAATGCTGCAGACTTATGTGGAGCTCCGTGTTAAACTGACAATAGGACTGATGACAGCAAAACTCAGATCATTGCCAGCAGTTGCCAAAACAAAAACATCCATAGCTGATTATGCTTCGTACTCTCGTTATTGATTGTGAGCACTTTACTGGGAAGGCATTCAGTACAATGCTACTCTTATTGTCAAAATTTGGCTCAATTATGTCAAAATGGTAACTTTTGATCTAATGAGTATTGCCTCCAAGTCATAAGCTTTTGATTGACACCTCACCCATGAAAATCCTGTAATCTGTCTTGGAGGAGTTTCCCAGAATGACACACTAGCACACAAACAGATGAGCCTCCTATGAATCATTATGTATTATGTATATGTATTTTTGTGTTTTCTTCAGAAGGGCAGGTGCCATCTTTTCTAAAAGTGCTCAAGGATACCAGGTAGAGGTTCTCCTTCATAGGTAACTTGTCATGAGCTCTTGAAGGTACTCATGAGTACCATAAGTATTTTACCTCTTCAGATTCATCTCACTGAATAAAAACTGATGTTTACTGGGAGAACCAAGGATATAACAGCAACTCTAAATATGTCATATTCAGGAATGTGTGGGTCAGTGTATGCTAAAACCAGGAAAATCCAACAATATTCAGCATTTTATACAGCTGCTATTTCCAACTAGAATTTCCCAACAAATTCAGAGGGATTTCAGAAGACTTTTTTCCACTTAAAAAAAAAGTCCTGGATAAATAATTATATCTTATCAATCTCTATGTAGAAACTACTCCTTAAAAAAGAGATGATTTGAATTATGTCAAAAGATTTACATTACCTAGTAGGTTGATGATGCCATCATTATAGCAGGCAAATAGCCGGATGAGGTCACGGAAGAGAAGCATGAAGGCTGTATTGATGACACCATTGGTCAGTTCATTGGCAGTACAATCAAACTCCAAAAGGGCATCTAGCTGGCTTTGGAGTATGGGTAAAGTCTTCAGAAGCTTCTCTGATGGCATTGTCCGAAGCGTCCCATCCTCTTTCCTGTATGGAATGATATAATGATCATAAGGCTTCTGTTAACCAGAACAAGTGAACTAACAAGGGATGAAACAGTAGCATTTACCCTCGCTTCACTTTGCAGAAATCAAAGGCCACAGTTCTGTAGGATAAAGCCTTCTCATTGAGGTATTTGGCATAACGGCGGATGAAGGTGGACATATCATAGCCTGGAATTAAATGGATTGCAATGTCATTGCACCAGAAATAAAAATTCTGGAAGGTTCACACTTAACCATAAGCCTACCAGAACTGCTCACAGATCTGGCGGGCCTATGAACACTTGACAGAATCACTTCTTATAGCTTTCAAAGAATGGAAGCATTACTTACTGACATTTGTCCCTGATGGAAGCATTCATTTGGTTGGAAGAAACACAAGTGCAGTTGTAATCAATGTGCATTTCCAAAGTTAACTAAATAATTAGCATAATGCAAGAATTTGGGTGAAAACATAAAATTGAACATGTCTAAATGATAGATTCAAGTGAAGCAACCATCATAGTGACAGTATTACATTTGTCATAGCTGACCACAAAATAATTGCCATGATTGCAATAATAATACATGCTGGTAATGACTTGCAAGAACATGCACTATCATCAGGATCAGCATTTATTAATATAAAAAGTCAGGTTATAGGGAATTACAATAATTTACAGTTTTCCTTCCTTTTCCATCAACCACATTTTCATAAGAGGCAGAATCAACACAAATACAGACAGTCAATATCTGAAAGGTGAATGTCAGAACTTGGAGAAGTGAATGTCATGTTAAATGTCAATTTTGAGTAATGTCTTGTTCATCAATCATGAACATAATTCTGATTCAAATAACCCAATCCATGTGCAAATGAACATTTTCATGGTATATGTCTCCACAGACAATGACTAGTAGGTCTATGAGAGTGCTGGTAGAAGCAGTCTATAGACAGAAAATACTACATTTTTTTATGCAAGTCATTTTTATCATAATAAGCTATGTTTTTGTTTGCTGGAATTCAATTGCCTCTTCTGATTGTAGGACTAATATTGTAATCATTAAAAACAGCAGCAATGTATCAATCACCAAAATTTGCATTTCATTGATTGGCTAATAATCAATATTGATGTATCTGTGCTGTTATTTTAGGAGGTATGATCTATCTCAGACAAGATATAATGCATGCATCACTAGGCCAGTATACTATCCATGCAAATCAGGTATCATTTCATTACTTACGTTGTCCTGTGTGCACCAAGTTTTTGGAAAAAGGAAGCCATAGGTCATTAAGAGAGTCCTCAAAAACTCCTCACTTTCAATCATTTTCTCAAGGCTCATAAAGGAAGTATCATGATAGAAATCTCACCTGCCACACCGCTCTTATCGAGGAAGTTGCCAAGCTGGAAGCTGCAATTGCTAGATGCCAGGTATTGTGTGAACCTCTGAAGAAGAAGAAACACAGACACAAATTGTAAGTCTGTACACAAAAGAACCATGGGTATGATTGATTTTTAAATCCAACAGGCCTGTGACCCATTCTGCATTCACCATATCAGAAATGAATATTGCTACATATCTGCAACATATTTTATTAGCAAGTACTATCTTCATTTAAAGAAAAATGTTCATCAGAATGAGAGAGGGAAAATGAAAGGAAAATCCAGGAAATCACTACTTAGGTTTGGTCTCACCACTGGGTTCTTGTCCCACATTTATAAATAGAAGAACCTCTTGTTTGGGAATCTTCTTTCCCAAACATTCAAGAGCTAGCCATTCAAACACCTGACTAGGATGCTTTTAACCATTTGGCTGTTTGACCAAGTACATACTCAGGCTTGTGTAGTGGTAGCATGGGTATGTTCTCGGGCTCAGAACATTCACCGTTTCTAGGTTATTTCACAGCTATTTATGCATGTAACTGCTATCTTCAATAATTATCATGATGACATTTTCTTACACAAACAATTGTTTTTAGACAAGCAGGGCCAATTTTTATACAAAAACGTATTAGCCATCCCCCATGTTATAACAGTCAAAGGGTTAAAATCATGTCCCCTGCCATGAGAGCTGAGTAGACTGCTAACCAAGACACTGGACAATCCTACATATTTCAAAGCTTCAAAGTTTTGATTTTCACTGAAAAAATCTTAAAGTGGTATCAGTATTGGACCCATAATTGTGAAATTTAAAAAAAAAGCACAGTTAAAATGGGATAAGTTCATTAATACCTTAACAAATTAAATAGATGCTGTTAAAAGTAGCAGATTTGCTACAAGGGAGGATAGACTTCACAAGCTTTCTCTTTGTAGCATTTAGAAATAATTGTCAGAGCAAAAAGTCCAAGACCTTTCGGCATGAATCCTTACAAGAGTCTGAACATCACGGTGAAAATGTGCATGAGAAAGGCTCATTTAGCACAAGTACATTGTGAATAATAAATATGAGAAAAAATTTTCAGACATATCTGCTCCATGCCAGTTTACTTTTAAGGTACATTGCGAGTATGCCTGAATCAGGAGATAGATGATCAAGCGTGATAGCTGAAGTTCCAAATAAATGTGTTTTTCAGAGTGAAGGTCTCAACATTAGTTCTTTTCATCTCTTGCTACTGCAGTCCATCCCATCTTCAATGAAAATGTCTATTGAAATTAATTTTCTCCCTCCATCTCCTTCAGCTTGAGGTAATTGGCAACTGCTATCAATTAATGGGTAATATGCACCAGATCTGTTTAACTTTAAACTCATCAGGTTTCATAATGGGTGTCTATGGAAATAAGATTGTCTCTGTCAAATGGTTTCCCATAGAGGACCATTGTGAGATCAGATTAGTTTAAGTTAATAAGATCTGGTGCATGTCACCCAATACCACCACCTTAATACTACCACAGTTAAGTTCCATTGCAAGAAAATTAACCTTGAATTAAGGCTGAGCTTTACCTCATTCCCATAGCACATAAGATGATGCACTGAGATGAGGGCTTTGAAGACCACAACCCAGTTTGAGTTTTGTGTCCTCTCAATGAGCAGGTTGGCCAGTTGGGGGATGGATACATTTGGCTCATTCGTGCAGGCAAGCAGATCTACAACATACAAAAGAAAATAAAAACAATCAATGCATGTAGAAAAAAAACTAAAAATACTGTATAGGGTACACTTAGCAAAATACTATCAGCCTAGCTCTTTCCCTGAAAAAATAATGTTCAATACCTCTCCCATAACCCCTTCCTGTACACTAACAGCAGTGCATTGGCCAGCACTGTTGTATGACGGAGAAAACATAACTTGACAATTCCAAGTTTAATTTTACAACTTTACCTAGCAGACTTGCTCCCAAAATTCATACCATAATAGCCTTAAGCATAGTTTTCCTCTTTCAGATGTTTAGATAACCTAGCAGTTCAGATGGGCAGCATGTGGATGGTAGATATAGGCTATAGAAATCATCATAAAGAACTCATCAACTTACAGTCAAGATGTTTCTTCTTTGGTCCAATCACCTCCTCAGTTGTGGCTTTACAGACAGATTTTGCAAGCCCCTGCCCAGCCAGGCTATATCGAGCAGCTGTTAGGCGATCTGTTATTGTCTGCCCTGACATAGTGCCAGCTCTTTTGTGTTCCAGCTCAAGGCTATCACAAGTTAAGTAGAATAATATTAGGCTTACAAAAAAACCACCGGGTTTCCACTGTTCACTGTCACCTAATGCACCCAGGAGGGTTCCACAATAAGGTCTGTCAAAGTGAATTTACCCCAATGGGTACTGTCTACCTATTACATTTGTAGTTACGCTACCAGTTCCCTGGTCATTCCTTGTTCACTCCCACAGAACCTGTCAGTTCCATCCTTATGACAGGCCTAATGGTACTATCTGCAACAAGAAAAGCATTTTCATATCCCCACATGGTGCTAGGGATACCCCCAGTTGGAACACTAAATGGATAGGAATGTAATTTTTATTATTTATTTTGTAACACAGTACTTAATTCTCATATTCAAAGTGCCATAATTGGTGTACTTTGGTCAATCCTGGAAGATATATACCCATTTTCCCCCTTAGTGGCTACCCTTCCATATTCCTCCACCCTTCCTTCCAACTCCTCAAGAGGTGAAATGCCTTCATAGCAAAAATAATAATAAGAAAGCAATGTAGCTGTAAGTGATTAAGCAGGAGTTAGATATGATTCCAGAAGAACATATATCTTTAAGAAGAGTAGGTCTATCTCATCACATACAAATGCTTAACCTTGACACAACACATCACAATGGGTAAAAGTGCCACTTGATATTCCTATCTGAACCATGAACCTTGATATAAGTTCAGATTTAACAATGCCAGTGAAGATATCAGTTAATGAAACAAAATGAGCTTATACCAGTGGTTTTTTTCACAGGAACAAATATCAATGCATCCATCTGAGATGATGAATCTAACTTTTTTTATACCAAGAACAAAGACAAAACTGCTTTCTCATTTTGATATAACATGATATTATTATGAAGGCTACATTGAATACCTATGAATAGAAAGTCTATATTTGAATGAATGAGCATTATGCCCTTGCCCTGGAGCAAAACCAAGTAGAACAGCTGTGACTTCAGCTATCAGTACCTTTAGTTACATTTTCTTCATTTTTTCCAAAAATAATCAAGGAAAAAAGGGAAAACCACAAGCATAAAGGCTAATTAAATATATTGAAAGAGCCTACATATTGAAAGCCAGTCAATTCTGAGGCTTCCCAGAAAAATCTGATTAAACACCTCTGCAGTACATGCAAATATTTTTTTTCGCTTATGAAAGTATCTCATCATGATCTAAATACTATACTATCCCACAATCACTCATGGGTGCATCAATAGCCCACACCTTGAGAGAAGCACTGAATAACCTTAAATCAAAGCAGGTGTTCCATATTTTCCACAATTTCTTGCAAAATCATCCCATTTCAAGAATAATTATGAAGAACAAATTGCGGGCCATCTCACTTTTACTGTGATGGGCAAATGCCCAATACTGTGTGCAAGGTACAAGACCAGAGATGTAAATTCTGCCTAATATGGGCTTGATTTAATCAAAAAGTTAACAAATCAAATTTTTGATATAATTACTCCCAATAGACCATGCATACAATAGAGCAAACACCTAGGGCACTAATTCAGGAACTGAAGCCAAGGAAATGAGGAGGGTAGGAACTAGAAACATCAAAATAATTGATTTAAAAATTAATTTATTGGCATAACACAACTAAAACTTATATTACAGGAAGCACATCAGAATAAGTATAGGAAAGGCAAGCCCTAAGGACTAGCTTAGAAGCCTAGCCTATACAGTTCTTGGAAGAAAGGCAAGAAAATGTTTAATTTCCAGATCCTTAAATATGGATAGTGGCTATATCCATATCTGCCCTGCATCCAATTATATCCAGAGCATCACAGTTACTATTCTCTGATATCCCTACTACTTGCCCTCCTTTGACAGTAAGAGCCAGTAGCCTGAAGGCTTTTCACATAGATGTCAAGAGTCAACTGCTGCAGGTTTAATCCTTGATCACACCACTAATTCTTAAAATTTTTCTTCTGACTCACTTCAACTGAGTTTCAAACTATCAGGAAGCCCAATGGTTGGAGCTACCCAGCAAAAAGCCCTGGCAGGAGTGAGGCTCAAGAATAAAAAAGCGTGAAAAGATCTGCCCTGAATATAAGAAGCACATGAGCGACCCTGGATATATTCTGGATCGTGCCCTGGGTGTAGCCAGTAGGTTAGCCATAATTCCTTGAGCCAGAGAAGGCACAGAATGAGAAATTGTCCATACGTTTTTAGCCCGTTAGCTGCCACATATCCTGCAAGCGAGTCATATGCCCGCACGGTTACATCGGAAAAATACATTGGCAGCTAATTTGTGAAAAGGAAATTGGAGTTAAGTCCTAACGTTAGGCCTATTAGACCTTCATAGACGTAGACCTATTCCGTTTTCGTACGTTAGACTATATTTTACGCCCTTAGCCCTCTGGCTATGGCCAAAATTCGACTGACCATTGTCATGGACACTGCTAATACCTGACACATTTAACCTAATCAGAAAGGCATATCGTTAAGAGTAAAGGATCAGCGCAAAAGCGGAGCGGAGCCGACACGCTGATCATGAACAGAACGCAGGGGGATCCACCTCCTCCTCCGCGATTGACTTGCGCCTGCGCCACCTTCATCAGCTGAACCCTGCGGAACTACACCATGACCAGCTCTGACACCCATAGCACAAATCTGCATCCAAGTTTTTTCCTCTAGGGTAGGGCATCTTCCCTAATTACTCGGGTACCGGAAACTCTTCAGTCTTTTCAAGCGTTGGTTTAAGGAACAGTCACTATTTCCTCGACCCAAGACACAGTCCAGCACTCTGGACAGATCCTGTCATCTGTGCTCCCATACAACAACTAAAACATTGATTCATCTCCCCCAGAAGGCAAGACACCTCGTTGAAAAGACTGTCCATGCCCAATCGATGGACCTTGATCCAACCCTTAGTCGTCCTCCGAAGAGGTCGGGTCGAATAACATCTTGAGGAAGACATGTCTGAAAATTTTGGAAATCAGTTCTTGACACATAAAGAGTTACCTGACAATTATTTCTCGAACGGCAATTCTCATATCCACAGTGAGAGGTGAAAGAAGAAGATTGCCTAAACTTTTGCAAACAAGAAAAAATGGTGCATTGATGATCGTGGTTTCTCTCATTTATTTAATTAACACATAATTCATTATTTCGGCCTCCATGTAATTCATCCAATCAGGATGACAGCAACTACAACTACTCTCATTTATATCTCTTGTATGCCAGATCGGATAGTTCAAGCCTGATTTCTAACAGTATTTCCATGATTTTTCTTTCTGAATTTCAGCATGAGTCTGATCCAGCACTCGTGATCGGCCCTCATAGAAAGGTTTCTGATTTGACTCCATGCGAGTAGCTGGAGTAGTTACTCAATTATCCGGCGTATTCATCCTGTACTGAATAACTTTATTCCGTAGCTGATAAGCATTTTTTATTTAGCCATCTTTGCCCAGTCAGGCCAATGAGAGTAATCAACTGGAGAGAAGGTAGCCCTTCCCTTCTCACCCTCTCAGTCATGTTCACATCTCGTCTGTAACTGAGCAGTATTTTCGAAGAGACCCAATTGGTCTCGACCAGGCTATGGTCGAAAATGCACTCCGTCATCTGACTTCCTCACCCCTCAGAAAAGCACGCACCGATTGTAAGACTGACTCGATGAAACACCACCCAGAAGTAGGGTGATCAAACTTCCCCCCATCTCGGTTGGGCATCCCGCGTCTCGCGAACGGCAAGAAATGTCCCGCAAAACAAAAAGTAGATAAAGTACTCGATAATGAACCAGCTCCCAATAATGAGCCACAGCGCAGGGAAATTTCAAGAACTAACCATGCGTAGAACGTACAGCATCCGGCAGGGATCTCATGCTCCCATACCTAAAATTAAGTTGGGATAAGCGGTTTCGAAAATGCATGTATGTATGCATGAATGTCGTTGAAGTGTTTCCATAACATATTCATGGATGCAGTCGGATGCTGGGATGTCAAATTTTAGCATTAATGGCCAAGGAGGCTCTGTTCGAAAGATGGGCCATTACTGAATTGACCAACCCAAAGTTACCCAGTGATGGACCCCCAGCCCATAACCGCTGCCGTGAATCGTTTCATGTCAGCTAAGTCAGACCCGGCGCCGGAAAATGCGGCGCCCCCTGCGGCAAATACATTGGGCCACCTCTGGGTTCCGGAGATTTGCTCCTTACTTCATTTTCGATTATCGAAGTTATATTAGGAAAAAAAAGAGAAAAATTCCTACATTTTCATTAAGCAAGGAAAGGAAAGGAATCTGTGTAGGTTGTCCAAAGATTTAGCGTTCGTATGCTCGGAACTTTTGCCACCAGCTCATCGATCATTTCTTGTAATTCAACGTCCAGCTGACCTCCCTCTCGACAGAGAGTATGGCTAGTCCTGTCGGGTGTTCTTGTGACATGCTTCATCTTAGATAAGTTATAAACTGTTTCGGTTTGGAAAGGCTTCGTTCTGCAGGTGCAACTCTCACTGGAGCTGTGAGTAGCACTCCAAGAGCGATGGAAAAATTAGGATACACGGGCCTGACCACTCTTGTGAATAAATCGCGGAGTCCCAAGAGCATCATCATGTGGCTCCGGTAGAAGTGTAGCCAGACTGCGAAGCTCATCGATGAGGTCGTTGAGCTATTGTGATTAACCTTGGCAAAAGGTGTCTAAAATGTGCACGGGTATCATCCATGATTAGAGTTGCCTCCCGTTCATAATTAGTATTGATAGTACATATTTCAGACGCACAGTAGATACTGCAAACTGGTCTTATTATGGACACTGTCCATACTTTAAACTTGCTGAGATGCTTTTTTTTTTAATGAATAAAGCTTAATAGCAGCTAAAACGACTTTTTCCCGTAAATCAAAAGCAGTAGACCACACTCCCATTGTATCGATTGAGGCCTTGGCTTAAGGTGGCTCTGGGAATTTGAAACATAGCCTCATACACAAGTATACTTCGAATATTTGTGGATATTTCCATATGTCCATATTTTGTTAAATTAAAATGTGGCAACCCTATCAATGACTCGGTAATGAATATACAAAACATTTCACAATATGATCAAGGGAAACATGCGAGGGAAAGGGATGAAAACGAGGTAGAACCTTTTACGCAGACGTTTTTCTCACCTCCTCGAGTGTCTTCAAGCGCGAGGATTTCAAGGATGGAGGAATTAAAATAAATAAATAAAAATACTTTTCACGCCTAGGAAGACCAAGATATATTCTTCTCATTCAGAGCTTGGATCTCCTTT